AGAATAACAACCGTATCTGCCGTTTGAATGGGATTCTTGACAAAATATGGGCCGCCTTTTCGTCTTTCGTGAGAGTAAGACGCGAAATTTTTGAGTACGGTTCCATGCTGAGACAAGGTGTTACTTGGATGTGCTGTGCGATGTGATCTAATATGCTAACGCTGATCAGTGGCTTAATCAATGACGCGTAGTATTATTATTATTAGACTTTTTTACAATGTATACTATATGCAAAATGTGACCAATGATAATCAATGCGCAGAAATTCGTGTTACTTCAGCAATAAATATCGTTAATATCGCTTAAAGGAATAAAACAAATCTATCAACTTCCATTACACAAAATGCTTACGTTCACAAGCGAATTCCTTTTTGGAGTATTAATTGGCTTCATTCTCGGCCTATTACTATTGCTAAATGGCATAATTTGCGATGGTCAGCTTAATAATATGGGAGCCTTAATTCAAACGATGAAGTTACAACGCATAACAAAACTGTCGGCGACGAACAAAATTTATTCGCCAGATATCGAAACGTTGTGGAACGATTTGAGATAATCGGATCCAAAATTTTCATTTAAACTTCTGGCGTTTGAACGCCAGAAGTTACTTGACGAAGGAAAGGCCCTTGCTGCTTCTACTATAAGAAATTTCTACCTTCGAAGAACAAACCCAAGGAAAAGAACCAGAGAGGTAATTCAACGTTGAATTAACGAAGAAAAGAAGAAAAAGGTAAACCATGAAGATGACAAAAATGAAAATAAAGAAATAAATAATAGTGATAGTAAAAAAGATAATGATATTTAAATCTGCACCAGAGTGACCAAAGAATAGGCTATACGCACGTACTCATTAATGGCTTTGGGTCTGAGTATTTTCCTCCCATGCAATCACTCTGGTGCTTTATGATTACGTATGTTTTGCATCTATAATTAAATTATTGTTACGTATTAGTATTTGACTCTTTGGTTACAAAGTAGTGAAACGCAAATAAAGGCGCTCAAGCAGTCGTTTATCAATAAGTCAAAAACTATAAGAAATAATCTTTCGTTGATAGGTCGCTCGACCTTGGTGGAAGCTTTTACATTAAATTTACTTTCCTCACGTTTCTTCAATTTTTCGTTTCTTTCTTGGTTCATCATAAGTTGGTGTTAATGTTCATTTATTGGTTTTTATTTTCCGTTCTTCTTGAAAATTTTCATAAGTAATGTTTTCTTTACCTAGATATTAATATTCCTCAAGAATTTTGGTATATTCATTTAAAAACGTAAGGAGCAACTTTTTCACCTTGTTCTTTCTTTGATTGTGTTGTAATTCTTGGTTTCATGGTAATGTAAATTAGTTTCATATTAATATTTTATAGATAGAGGTAATCCTATATCAAACCTAAATATCTGTGCAAAACTGTCATCAGTCACTTAGTTAATTTTCAGCCACATCAGCCATTTTTATCTCACATAGTCAAATGTTCGTTTTGTTGCCCCAATTATTAAAAACATTAAAAGTTTTTTTGAACATGAATATTAAACTTTGTTAGAACTTCAACACTGATTAATAGAGCAATGTAACTCAATTTTGACGATGGAATTTAAAAGTATGCTGTGTTGTGGTTCGGAAACAATTAAAAACATCTGAATTGTGTTGTGTGCTATGGTGGTGTAAAAAGATGGAAAACTAAAACAACAATTGAAGACATTTCAGCGCATAATCCAATAACTTACGTTCTTATCAGCAAAAAACGAGTTATAAATCTGCAATTTTATCACAGGTCTTGAATGCAATAACATGTTAACTATGTAGCTCTGTCACCAATTAAACACTTTACATGCAATTTAAGAACGGATTTATGTCAACATTTTCGGAACGGCTTACAGTATAATTATAATGCTTGCAAGGAAGAAGCAAAGGACTACTAAAAGAGATGAAGACATCTGTCAAGACTAAGTTGAAGAAAAACTATCGCAGCAAGAACTCTTTTTATGCATACTTGACTTACATTGACGTCTGCCAAGGTATTTGTTATATAAGATAGACAAAGACTACCGGCCGATTTGCAGACATTAAATTCGGAACCCGTAGGTCAGGTCTATTTATATCTATCTAAAACGCTTTCTTACATAGACGAGTATTTGCTACCGGGATATTCGATTCGAAGAACAAGTATCAAATATCCTTGATTCAATTATAAATCGTACATTTCAGAGTATTAGTATAAAAGAGATATTAATGTTGCGATGTAAACGTGATGCGGAAAGTTGAGCGCTGGCGTGTCTATAATTGGGGGTACCCCTATAATTAGCATCTATTATTATTGTGTTACCCTGCAAAACTAATCGTGTAGTCCGTTGCATGTGTGATACGTGATCCCGATATAGTAATAGTAATAGTAATAAGCAGTAAAATCCTCGTGAAACTATCGGAAATACTCAAGTGATTACGTGTATTAAACAGTTCTCAAAAACCAAACAATGACTTCTTTGTTCAAAGTAAAAGCAGCTGAACAAGGCGATGCTAATGCACAATGTAATCTTGGTGTGTGTTATCAGTATGGAACTGGAGTAGAAAAAGATGAACAAAAGGCAGTTGAATTGTATCAAAAAGCAGCTGAACAAGAAAATACCCAAGCACAATGTAATCTTGGCTGGTGTTATTGGCATGGAACTGGAGTAGAAAAAGATGAACAAAAGGCAGTTGAATTGTATCAAAAAGCAGCTGAACAAGGTGATGTTGATGCACAATGTAATCTTGGTTGGTGTTATAATAGTGGAACTGGAATAGAAAAGGATCAGCAAAAGGCAGCTGAATTTTATAAACAAGCAATGAAGCAAAGAAATGCTCATGGACAATTTAGTCTTGGTTTTTGCTACCAGTATGGAACTGGTGTGGAGCAAGACAATCAAAAGGCAGTTGAATTGTATGAAAAGGCAGCTGAGCAAGGATATGCTAATGCACGAAGACAAATTTACAATATTTATTTCTATAATAATAAAAGAAAGAAAGAAGAAAAGATTCAAGAAATAACAGACTTCTACCAAAGAAAAAAGTTGAAAGCAATGAAGCCAGAGTAGAAAAGCTTTGCAAGTCATTTTTAATTTGCCTTTGTATTTGCAGCTAATAAAATTTAGACTGGTTAGAAAAGACTTGCTGACTATAATATCAAGATAGTTGGTGGCAACACTTTAAAGAGGGCAATTTAGTTTATAAACATCACATAACACTTCTTGAGTATCGTAGGGACCATTAAAGATTAAATATTGCTTATACATTATATCATGCAGACTTAAGACTGTGACAAATCTGGAAAAAGTGAACTTAAAATTGGAGGTGTAACTGAAAGATTAGCTAATATAGTTGATAATTTTAAGAAAGCATTGATTTAGTGGCACAGCTGTGACTCATATCTGAATTTATGGACTAATTTTAATTGCATTTTAAACCTATTACTATATTATATATTAATAAATATCAAAATGTAAACTTGGTTGAGATATACTTTTATTATTATTATTATTATGTCTGGCATATTAAGGTGGATGAATGTAAATAGTTGGATGTTGGGAACGTCTCTTGTTATAATATACAGTATCTACTTCTTTTATTAATTCTTATTCAATAGCAGACAAATATATAATCAAGCATATTGTTAAACCAGAGAATAATATAGGTATGACTGACTAAAGTGAGGTCTGGCTAATCTATTAAATCAATTATTTTCTCCGTTTATGTTTATTATTAGTTACTTTATCCATGATAATATAAGTTAGCTTTGCAGGCTAACAAATATGCTACAAGAACAACTCCTGCAGCTAATAGCTAAGGAAGGAAATACTCAAGCACAATGTAGTCTTTGTTAGTGTTATGAAAGTGGAACTGGAGTAGAAAAAAATGAACAAGAACTGTATCAAAAGGCAGTTGAGCAAGCAAATGCCCAAGCACAATGTAATCTTGGTTGGTGTTATGAAAGTGGAACTGTAGTAGAAAAAGATAAACAAAGAGCAGTTGAGTTGTATCAAAAAGCAGTTGAGCAAGGGAATGCTCAAGCACAATTTAATCTTGGCTGGTATTGTTACGGTCGGATGGTCTGGGATTTGGAGAACGATTAATCTTTCGCGTAGGGGTGTTCTTCCGACCAGGGTTATTACCAGATTGGCTTCGTGCTACCGCCCTTAATACGGTAGTTGTTCAATTAAGACTGAATTCTAATCTACAAGTGACCTATTTATATAATTAAATTAAATGCGCGCTTCTCTATCCGAGCTTCAAATCACTCGTGATTCCAAATAAGGGTATCCACAATAAAATAATAACAACAATTATTTTTATCGCGGAATCGAAGGGGAATTTTATTTAATATTAAACGGGGCTATCTTCGATTTGGTATTTTGACTAGTCAAATTCTGTTACTTGTCTCAAACTAATTAAACAATATTCGTTTTAATAAATAATTAATAACTCTCGTTCCTCAATAAAGAGTAGTAGATCAACGAAAATTTATACAGCTTAAGTAAGCCGTTTTTACAGCTTGAGTGAGCTGTTTTTAGTGAGCTGTTTATTAATACCCGGTTAAATAATTAATATTGCAACGATGAAAGAAAGTAAAATTTTGATTTCAAAGGGAATCGTTTTTAATTCCGTGGAGTGGAAAATAATATGAACAAACTAAATAACATATACAACATGAGAATTTGACGATGGGATAAGGGCTGCTTATTATTATATAACTAGCGATTAGCAAAAATTGAAACAAAAGGAATCAGTATCGACATTTTTCAAAGACCAATAGATTCTAAGTTAGCTAGTGGCGCTGGTACTGATACTCAAAATATGCAACGGCGGATTCATGGGATGCATACTTATTATCAGAATACAGAAGTCACGCGTTGACTGTACTTCTATGTCACATGCAGCCAATCAAATTTCAATGCACACCCTCCATAAATGCAAATTTAGACTGTATTAGCCAAGCCACCACGATAGAATGAATAATCTTACCTTCACTATTATGGCCCAGCGGCCTATTATATTGTTCAAGATCCCATGTCGACGATATGCAACAGTGGTATTAACACAGCCTCGTTCACGAGTGGGACTGGGGACGATATCAGACAATCCAAAGGCTACACGGAGAGTATGTGAATTAACGACAAATGGCAATGTCGACAACAATATGCTCTTTCAACCAGATCTGTCTCGACGAATACAAAAGTAAAATCCATCACTCTCATTATATGTCCTCAGCGAAAACGGGTAGGGAGAGGCCCCTCTTCTGGCAAGGGGAAGACCGCTGGCCGTGGTCAGAAGGGTGCAAAATCACGACCAGGGAAAGCAAACCCGTATCCTGGTTTTGAGGGTGGACAGACGCCACTAACAAGGCTATTCCCCAAGCGCGGCTTTCACAATCCGTAAGTGTTCCAACTTTCAAAGTTTTCATTTTTTAGAACCGTAAAAAAGCTTACCAGGTTTATATTTTCAGAAATCAAAAAATCTATTCAGTAGTAAACCTCGATCGTCTTCAAAATTGGATTGACAGAGGTAGGATAGATCCCAGTCAACCCATTACGATAAAGGAGCTTGCTGATACACGCTGTGTTCGTGGGGTTAAAGACGGAGTGAAGTTGCTCGGTGATGTATGTAAATTTGCTTATCTTGATTGTTGATGGCAGAGGTAGCGCGCGCAAAGAACTTTAATTAATTCATGGATCTCGCAGGGTGCAGAGTTTTTCAAATCGAAAGTTGATATCGAAGTCTCTAAGGCTTCGAAGCAGGCCATAGAAGTTGTTGAGGGATTGGGTGGAACAGTCACGTGCAGATACTTTAATAGACTGGCTCTGAGAGTGATCCTACATCCCGAGAAATTCTGGAGAATACCAAAGTTTGCGTTTCCGACAAAGGCGCGCGATATTGGTAAGATATTTGTCATGGCTTTTTTTTTCTTCCGTTTTTGTCTAGCTACTTAACCGAACAACTACTTCTGTTGTTATTAGCGTGGTATTCGGATCCAACAAATAGGGGTTACTTGGCTGAATCCCTTGCAATAGAAACTGAAAGGGAGATTCTCAGAAAAGAGCATGCAGCAAAGAAACAAGCCAAGTCTTCCCTTTCTCTGGTTCATTCGTCAGTTTAAATGAGAAATCTGCATGCAGAATAAAATCTTCACAATTTAATCAATCCATGTGCTCCCAATATTATCAACATCCTCCCCATTTCACGTGTAAGTTAATCAGTCGATTAAAAATAATTACTCTTTGATTAATTCGTTAATTTTATCAATCAATTTTATTGGTTTGAAAGTATTTAATAATGCTAGGCTGGCGCTTTTATTTCGAAGAATTGATGCTTAAACTGTTTAACATTTTCTACGTCAGTGATTACATTACTTGGATCTACTGGAATTCGATTACTTTAATTCCCTCATTCTGTCGAGTATATTGAAATACAATAGTAGTGTAATAAATTTCACGTGTAGACCAAATCGTACTTTTAATTTCATACCAGTACAAATATATTAAATTTTCGAATGAAAATATTTCACACGTTTTTTACAAAGCATATTTTCAGGGAGTATCCTTTTATAGCAACCGGCAACTTAAGGCAGAAAGCTCTGCACGAATAAGGTCACGATTTGTATGCCAGGTTTTTTACTACTATAAAGAGAAATACCACGTAATATGATATGGACAGTTACGAATTCGATAAAGCATTTGAGCAAAAGCTTCAACGTGACTCCTATATTGATATTACTAATTGCTATAATTGTATCAAAACGATTAGAAATCTCAAAGATATACCAGCTTCCACTGTGCTCGTATAAATTACACAATCTAGATGACTCCAGGTAGTGTTAATATCAGCAAAGTCTTCTTGATGCTGTTTTCCGTCCATTTGACCAAAATAAACATAGGGGAACCATCTGGTTTCCGTAGCTGTGGTCACAACTCGGGCTTTTTGCAAAAGTTATAGAACAGTCCACGCGTTTGCCTTCTTCATTAAAGCCTATACGCATAGCCTCTGATCCTTTATTCGGATCATAAAGAATTTTTACGGACACACCTTTACGGGGCTGGTACTTGTTACAGAAAACTTTTATATCTTCTCCTCGATATTGCCTTAAAAAGGTTAAAAGTCGATTCATTTGCAAAGGCATCCCATAGCCACAACATAAACAGCAGATTTAACAAATTTTGCATAGCGTTTTCAGATTCTCGGGTATGAATACCACTAGACATTTGATGCATAATAGCATTTGCTTTATCTAAGATAACTATATAAGAACGCCCGCCATAACAATGTGTACTTTCAACCTGGACAATAATGACATCCCAGTCACGTATAGTTAAATCGCCCTGATTTCCTGATAATGACACACGCGAAGTCCTGAATCTTGTAATGGTTCAGTCTCATTACTAAGAGGTTTGCGTATGAAATCCAAATAAAGCAAGGAAAATTTGCGCGAGAGGTACTGTTGTGAAATAGTAATGATGCTGGGACTCTCATTTATAGCCTAGGATCCGACCTCTTTGATAGCGTCATATGCTTCTCTAATTCGCTATGTATTGTATATAAAAAAAACTTAATAAAGTTTTCTCCAACAATTTGTGCTTTATATTTTTGTATCGGAAAAATAAAAAGTATTCATAAGGTAAACAAGGTTAAAGTTTCTACTAAGTAAAAATTTTATTAAACCGTTTATAACTTTTTATATTCAAAGTCAATAAACTAGAACATATTTATAATAGATGCCGCCGTTCCGTAAATGGTCCTAAAATCGAGATTTTAAAGCAAAGGGGAATTCTGATCTATTGCAAAATAATTTTATTTATTTATTTATATTCTATACCGCCTATTTTAGCATCTTTTTTATTCCTCTGCCAGCAGAATAATTTTTAAGCGCAGCACGAATAGTCTCATGTTGCTTAATATAAGCAACTTTCATGTTGATGTTTTCGCATGAGGTTATAGCGACAAGTTATTCTTTAATGTAAATTCACAAAAGGTAGCGCGACAAGCAATACAGCACCATGGCAAATTACTTCGTGTTTATTTTTGTCGCATACCAAATTTAGCTAGCATTTGTATAATGTATGTACAATGGACACAACGTACATACATGTAATATAATCGAAAAATGCTTCCACTTTGATAAAATATGATTGTGATGACTACAATCTTCTTGTTTTGATTCTAGTCGACTCCATTATAGTGCATTATCGCAAATTTATAATGATTCTGTTATCCGTGTCTACCTTATCTGATTAAGAGTCAAAAAAATTTTTTCAACTTCGGAAAGCAAAGAATATTAATATTTGATTGTAACTCCTCGAAATGGAATATCATTGGGTTTCTGAACGAGTGCAACCTAGAAACCGTTTCAGAAGAAATAGATTCTTGCCTTAAATGTCTCAGTAATATTTTTGAGAGTGAACATGGTGTGAGGAAGGAGACAGCAAAAAAGCTCCTTGATAAATATAAATTGGCAAGTAAAAAATTTTTTTGTGGGAGACTGTTGCAGAAACTTCACAATTCCGTGTAGAAGGTAGAAGATACTTCTTGTTAAAGTCCTATTATGCTACTACTGTAGAAACTAGCTCCTACTCTCGCAGGAGCTTTCACAACAGTCTCCGCGGCGTGACACGATTGCCGAGCCACAAAACTGGTGTCAGGGCACAAGCCTACTTGGTCGCCTGATGTTCCGATGGGATAGGGTATTAATAATTATTATTGGAGGCTTATTAGATTCGATTATTAGATCAAGAATGGCTAAATTTGATAGGGACCTAAACTGATCGTCAACTAGCAAAAAATTCAAAGTTAAGAATAACATAATTGCAGAAAATCTGACCGCTTTTTTTAGCAATGATTTAACTTTGAGGCATACTGTATGTCAACCAAGTCCGGAGCTCAACTAATAATTATTTTCGAATCGAAAAAATATTTATCATAGTTATAATCGGCACAACCATCCCATGGTACAAAATCAACCCCCCACGAGATCATTTTATTACTATGTTCGTTAATTATCATTTACTTTTCTTTACCACTTACAAACTTGACCATTTCAACATCTGTCATTTATTCTCACTCACAACTTGATTATCAACCAGAATATACTTCTATCTCTAGACTATGAAGGCTGAGTTTTTTCCTCTGCAACTTTCGTCATTCTAATTTAACCAATATTATCCCTCCAACTATATACAAAATATGTATTATGGACACCATAATATCTATTTTGTACATGGGTTCATACATAATACAGGCGACAACCTTTCTTGGAAGCATGCTGGACAATGTTTTTGTAGCTCCAGCTGTTTACAGGATGATTGTCAAAGTAAGCGCCGAACTCTTTTCCTTGTTGAATAGTGGAATGTTGAATGTACCAAATTTTGTTACACTAGTAAGAAAGTTCTCCACAATAACCAAATCCACTGTAGCAGAGGTCCACTATAAAGAGAGACACCAAATAATATTAGAGTGTAGAAATTCTATCAACAAATTACCACCATTGCAGTTGCATTAACTGGATTTGTTGTCGCTTTCACACTAGAAATGACAACCGCCGTAAAATCGTAATCGCATTAGTAAAGTGACAACCGCGTGTACTGACTAAACTAGAGAAAGTGGCAACAGATTAGATATATAAGAGACTCGACCTTCTGCGTGTTGACATACTTTCGATTCCTTTATTGTTATAATAACGAGTAGTTCTTATACTCAGAAAGGAACACATTATTCATATTCATTCTCTGGAAGAAATATTTATCCCATACTTGATGTTGTACAGTATAATTCCTATATCATATTTTGACACAATGAAGACCGGAATTAAGGTTAGTCCTCACAATGAAGATTGCTCCTTATATAGAAACTATACTGCGCGATGTTAAAAGTGTGGGATAAATGTGTGGGTTTTCTTGACTAAAATATTCCCTGGTATATTTGATCATCTCTAGGAGTATTCCGCGAGTATTCCAGTGCATTACTATTACGATAATTATTCGCTTACGGAAAAACGCATTTGATATAATTATAAACTCATTCATAGGCTTCCCAATTAATCCCATCGGATCGACGCTTGTAAAATGTAATAAACTCGTTATCAAGGTCACACAAATATTTGTGACAAAAAATATCACTAATACGGTAATACGAGATATTGATTCCCATGTGACGCACAGTTAACCGATCACTGCACAAAACTATGGGCGTTATCAGTTAACGTCTAGTGCTTACTATAAAAGGTTAGAGGTAGTATTGATCCCGTGAACCAAAGCTATCATGTGACCAATAGGATATGCCACCGAATTCAGCCAACGTAAGGGCATGTCTATGTGCTTGAAAAGGAAATCTTACTTACCTTTTACAGCTTTCGTCTATGTATCACGAAATGTATAAATTTTACTATCATTGGTTTCTTCAGCATGCTAGCCAGCGACCACCCTCAAATTCGGCCCTATTTCCAAGGAATTTACGGGGTTAAACGAGTGGTCAGTTGTGGAACCTTTTTTTCCCCATACTGTGAAGTGTTTTAGTCGCGACTCTACTTTCTTCGTCTACAATATGACACAAGTTTATCAACCAGGAAACAAGGTATACGCCAAATTAAGAGGTTATCCATGGTGGCCCGCGAGGGTAAGTAACAGACCAATACCTTTATTGTTCAAATCGCTCGTTTTCACGAAATTTAAATAGGTTAAAAAGCATTTGACTCTTAAAAGTGACGATCACAAGGAAGAATGATTTACTAATACCTCGTGTGCTACCCACATCGTTTAGATTGAAGACGAATCAGAGCTTCCGTCTTCTGTGCTTGCACAAAAGCCAAAAGGCTCACAGAAAGTTTGGAGTGTGCGGTTTTTTGGAACTAGAGACTAGTACGTGTTTTGGATCCTCGCGTTGTTTCTTTTATGAGAGGAACGTATTGCCTATATCCTACGTAGAGAGCGGGCTATTAGTGTTAGGATTTATATACCAATGTGAAAATAACGCGGTTATCACATGAGAATAGCCGACTATGCCTATTTCATGAATCTTCCCGTTCGCATATCACGATTCCTTGGTTAGAAGATGCTCTCACAAATAAGGGTAGAGGGTTAGATATAATAGTACCTTGATCATGATCATCTAACCGAATTCGTATGACAACTTTTATGTTAGTGCTTGGATGCCACCAAGGCAGCTGCGAGAATTCGACAAACAACTTGCGGAAGAATCTCTCGAGAAACTAAAAGGGAAAAGGAAGGAAAAGTTATTGGAAAGATCATTCATGGAAGCACTGGATTTAGTATCAAATATCGATGGTAGCGACGATGAAGAGGCTGATGCTACGCCAGAATCATCCAATAATGAGATGGACGTTGACGGCGTGAGTAAGAGATCGTCCGACTCTTCACACGAAGAAAGTACCGAAGAACGGCCAAAGGGACGAGGAGCCAGGTCTCGCAGGAATTCGAAAAGTGCATCGACTGCATCAACTAAGCAAAATACCGCAAAATCAGGAACTGCAAAATCAGGATCCGCAAAATCAGGAACTACAAAATCATCGACTGCCAATACAAAGTCGACAAAACGTAGACATAGAAAGATCGATTATACCGACGACGAAGAAGAACCTATGGATATTGATCAGAATGGTAAAGATGAAGGAAAAGACAAAATACGAAACCAGAGTTCCAAAAAGGTATATCAACTGTTTAATATGGACGATAACTTTGCAGTTTTGAATTTAATCGGTTTTGCCGTTTTCTTCTTTTTTTGCATATCCTTTACATTTAAAGCGTCGCCGTATGTCGAAAGACAAGAGCAATGAGCAAGTATCAAATAGTGATGAAACGGGTTCTGATGGAAAGTCCGAGAGCGGAGCTGGAGAAGGTCCGAACGGGCCAGATGCCTTGGACGAGGAATCGGGTGCCAATGCGAAATCGAAAAAATCGGAAGCAGAATCGAACGCTCGTTCTGGCAAAACCCCGAAAGCCTGTAAGTAGCATCAATTTTTCTTATTGCTGTCCATGTACATACGTTAATTTACTCGATTGAATTCGAATGTTTGCAGCTACACCTACGGAGAAGCTAGTTCACTTGCGGCATAAACTTCAGAAATTAACGCTGAAGGATCCCGTTATGGTACGATGAATAAGTTCCTGCTATGTACAGATTGGGCTGTGTGTTTCCTTTATTTACTGACCAATATTGTTTAGGATCAAGTGAAAGTTGATCAACTCTTTGGAGAAGTTGAAAGCTTTTCCATTACCATTCCGCTGTTGAAGGTTTGTGATAGAACACCATCATGAGTTGTAGAATATCAAGAATATAAATTAATTTACGGGGTTTCTTTACAGGAAAGCAAAATGGGTAAACTAATGAAAAAGATTGCCGCGAAAAACATTGATCCTGATCCATATAAGATAAAGGACCGATGTACGGACTTGATGAAAAAGTGGAAGTGTTTGTTGGAAAGTTCTAGCCAAGAGCCAGCCGAAGAAACCACTTCCCCGAAAGCAGATGGCAAAACCTAGATAGTGACTGGGAGCTAGTTATAATATCCCGCTTTCGGGACTGGTAACGTAAACGATGATGTAATAACTTGGTATATTGACGATAATAGTAATAGTAAACGGTGCGGCTTTATTGAATAATAGTGATTTGCTAATTCAACCATTACCTCGCTTTTTCACATCAAGTGAGATCAAGGTATATTTTCCATATAATATTCTCTTTTTTTTTTTCATCTATCCCAGTTTTCATCGTGCATGGGAGGTATGATCTCACTTAACATTTCACGCTCCATGATTGATAGTCCGTTTGCATCAACTTGAGATTTAATCAACAAAAAAAAAAAAAAAGGAAAAAAAGAAAAAAAGAAAAAAAAAGAAAAAGAAAAGAAAATATATCAAGCTACGGAAGAGTGAATGAAGTCGACATGTAGTCTTACTCTACGTCGGGGACAATAACTATAAATACATACGAAAGTGTTTGAAATCAACTTCCAGAATTCTCATTCCTAGATTCGTGTGTCTATGAAGTGGTTTGAGTTTGACAAGTTTACATCACATCCAATTGGTTCTAGTTACGGTTCTCTCAGGGCCAGGTCGATCCATTAAATCAAAGATGAGCGTTTAGCTTCCCGACAGAAAACGGAATCTACCAATATGATTTAGCGTGATGGTGAACTCTTGCACGATTTTATCGATGCCATTAGTTTACATGATCAGTATTTTGCAAAGCTGCCAATGTTATCAGGATATCAAGGATAAGGTTTACATCTCATAGTGCATTGCTCGCTCTGAATGCTTAGTGATGATGCGACTTGTAACCAACACGTAAGAGGTGTTCTGGAGATCTAGCAATGTTTTGGAATCGAGATCACTTACATCTTCACTGTCGAAGCATTATCCTCTGTAGACCTCTGAATTCGCGTTATTCAAAGAAAGAACAATGGGAACGATTCTCCGATTTCTTTTTTTCCCGTCCCGTGAATCATGACGCGCTTAATGATTGATTGGTATTATACGTACACAATTTTTGCTCGGTACGAATTAAACTCTTTTCTCTCCTAACGTGAAGTGGGGACGTCTCTTTATGCTTTGTCGCTTTTCGCTCTTTCTCTGGGTTTATTATACTAGAATAAGCTCATTGGAGTGTATCCAAGAGGAACGCGAGCTAGCATTAATTCCATGTATGTGAGCAAATAATGATATAAAACAACAAATCACATGTTCCTGTGAGAGCAATTGACACATCAGGTGATTATCATAAATCTGAACGCGTGGCCGAAGCGATTTTAGCCGTAGAAGAGCTTTATATTATATGATAAGTAACGTAGGATATAATTTTGATAACTAGAGGGAAGTGATATCCAAACTCTGGGTTGATCATTGAATAACTTAACGATTTGCATGCATGTGTACCTCTCCCCCACTCAATCGGAATAACATGCGATAATTTTTTAAAGAACTATGACGACATTTCTATTGAGATACCTCCAAGAAACTTTCGTATAAGAATTGGAGGGAGATGGAAGAGGTTTTCAGAGATATTACCGTTGGAATAATTGGATTTTGTAAGCACTATTAGATCTATGTAATATTAACTGGTATTTGTCAAGATGCAGTCGAACCTGGTTATAACGAATCCTATGGGACCAGAGAAAATATTCCTTATAACCAGGGTTCTTAATGAAATTCGCTATAGTCAGCCAGATACTCAAAAATGATTGGCTTAGAGAAAATTTATCTTCATTATAAACAGATTTTCGTTATAACCAAACTTTGTTATAACCAGGTTCGACTGTAATAAGATCACACAAAATCGAGTATTTGTTTTTATCTTGACATGAATTTTCTCTACAGCAGTAGTTGTACTAATGAGCAAACTTAAGCATGTTAAACATTATGATTTATCAAAGATTCACGTCAGATTAAAGTTAAGTGCTTTTAATATTTAAGGCCAGATTAGTTTAAAGATTATTATGACGGGATTAAATTTAAAAGCTTGTAAGTCTCTAAACTGAACGCGTTTGTAAATAATTAAATAGTCAAAGATTCCAATGAAATCGATGGCAAGTTTGATCTCATTCAGAAAGGCGTATTGCACTTCACCAGCGATAGAAAATTTTCACCAGAGAATAAACGAAATACGTATTTTTGTAATTAAACACGAATTTTATTAAACTATTCTAAACAGGGAATTTAATAGAAACGATGGTTGAAATAAAAATCCAATTGATGCTGAAAATGCTGTTTGCTAAAGAAACTACGACTGCTTATGTATTGTAACTATTATCGTTCCACTAAGCTAATCGACTGATGTTTGTACCACTAAGCGACTTCTCTGACCCGATAATTATTTTAGGCACATTGCTAATAAAGGAACGCAAAATTCCATCCTCACTTGATGTTATTAAACCCATCGGTCAGATGGAAAGACCGTAAGTATTTTTTTAATGTAAATTGATGTGCTGTAACCCCCCAACTACATTTTATAATATTTAATTTTTTTAAAAAAAAATTTACAGCATTCAAATTATACCAAGGTCTTACTTTTAACTTATTTGTGCTTGGAAATTGGAAACATTATTGTTCCATTTGATTGTATTGATGTTAGGATATATGCCGTATACTTGGATGGTCTACCTACTTGTGCAGCTGTTAAATTGATTCCACTTGAGATAACAGACGAGACACATTATTTATATTATGCCGAGGTAACTATTTACTCATGCGTCATGTTTATTGAATAGTTTAAATAATTATGTATAATTTCCACCAGTTATGTGATGAGCATCCAGATATTCTTACCACGGATGCTTGGGTTACCATCGGATTCACATATCATGCAAGCAAACAGATGTATTGTCTAATAAAACGTGAGGATGGATTATGTCTGGCGTGTGCAAGGCAATTAAACTCCAAGATAGACCTATTCTGTTTCGAATGTAAAGCGCCAAGACTACGAGATTGGACTACGGGTAACAAGTCATTAGATTCATTCATTATGGAATCATGGAGTAATATGAAGATTGAATATGATGCGTATATACAATGGATAGAATATTCTCTATTGATGATCGTACAAAAGATGACATCATTACGTATGGATGCACACATATAGCAGAATGGAGAACAAATGAATCGACGAGAGTGATACTCAAAAAGATAGTTGACGAACAAAACGATCAGTTATTTGATTTTCATCAGGTAAATTATTTCACATGCAAATAGCAGTTACTAACGTGTATCGCGCATTTAACGACTGTATTTGTTTACTCAAATAGCTAACTAAGGAATACCCGGAGATACTAACACCCGAGAATATTTGGATAATTGGGATCACTCAGGAGCCATCTACTCCGACTCTTTCCCCTTTTACTCTAAGACCAAAATTTTCCGCAGTAAAAACAGATAACCTCCATTAAAGAGAGTCTCTATAGGTAGCTTTAAATAATAAGACATGTTAAATAAAAATAAGCAAAGAAGGTATCTGCCAATGCTTCCCAACTGACCAGTAAAGGTCCTAACTCCAAAAAACCATCTCCTTTTTTATTTGCAAACACTGAATGTAGACTTTCCTATGATGCCCAAGTCTCAAACAGAGAAGTCCCCAAGACTGATCTAATTAACTCACTGTTCTTTGACCTCTGTAACCTCCAAGTCACTGAAGAACAGCTGTTTGAAGCTATTCAGGATGACATTATGGGCATAGCCTACAGACAGGAATCTGGCTTCCTCGAAGTCACTCTTACTGACCAAGATGCCATTAAAAGCTACTTCACAGAAGGCCTAAAGATTGCTGACACACCCATCATTCCTCTACCCCCCAGAGACTTGAATCCAAGAATCCTTAGGATTAAACTAGCCAATGTGCCTATGCATGTAAGCAAAGCATGCCTCGAACAAGATATCAAAAACTATTGGGGGCAATTCACCTGCATTAAGGCTATTGCACCATATACCTATAAGGGAACAGCTATCCTCACCAGACGATGGGACCTAATTGTCCAACTCAAACCTGAGGCTAATGTGCTAGAAGCTCCAGTGGTATGGGAATATCAGGAAAGCAAAGTCCTTGCAACCTGGAGAGGAGCACCTGCCTCTCATGTAAGTCAGCTGGGCACTACTCCAGTGTATGCCCTACTTTTCCTCCAAAAAGAAAGATGACTGAAACCCCCAAAAAAATGATCAACAAGCATGTAACCAGCACCCCTGAAACCAACATACCAAATGATGGAGTGACAAATAAAGCACCAATTGCCTCATCTAGTAAAATACCAATTGCCTCAACCAGCAAGGTAACCACCACATATGGTGCAACAAATACTCCCCTTGTGGCACCACAACAATTCCATACTCCCCCCACCCAACTGATGTCATATGCATCTGTAACTGCAGCAGGGTCTCCCATCCCACAAGCCCAATGACAAACACATCCAGGAATACAATCCCAATTCGAATTATTTGCAACAACTACAACAGCATCAAGAGACCTTTACACAGGAAATTCTCTTGACCAGGAAATGGGGGCTCCTATTATGGACAAGAGTATAGCCCAAATCAAGACCTGACAGCTGTCTCTGAATCACTGTTTGCAGGTGATGATGAACAAATGGCAAGTCAATATCTCCCTCCAGGTAATGATGAGGAAATGGCCTTATTAAAGTGTCAACTCAAGCCATGACCATGGTCTTCTTTTGATCAAAATTACTCTCAAGCATTGGTAGATGCTTTCTAAGGTTAAATAGTTGAAAAAGAAGATCAAATGCTTCATTGGGTTTAGCCAAATCTACAAGATGGTCAAATTTGATTTGGACCTAGGCCATATCACACATCATGTTAAAGATACAAGTGAACAAAAGAAATAGAAAAGGAAAAAGAGAATAAATAAACTTACAGTTCATTCTTCCATATGTATTATTAGGTTGATATACAATGTATCTTTCTGCATGGTTAACTTTGATAAAGGGCTTCTACAAGATGTCACTCAGCAGCCAAAAATCTGGGTCACTTCAGGATTCTCAAAAAGGTTCTGGACAGGATTGTTAATTGATATTGACTGCAATTTCAGAACATACCACCACATTGACAACATATGGATATGTGATCAAGGAGATACTTTGTAATGTAAGAAAATCTCAATTTATTTGTTTATGGCCTTTCAAATACTCTCAGCTACTCACTCCAAAATAATAGCATCCAAATGTAGCTCTTGGTATTTGAACCAAAACACAGACTGCTGTTGTCATTAAGTGTGTCAACAAACAAAGTGATGAACTTTTGATTATGCAGTATCTGAACTCAGCAGAGCTGCAATCAAATTAAAATCATACTATTCCCTTGCTCAACATCATACCATTGAACAAAGATGTATCTGCCATGGTCATGCATGACTGTCAACCATTATTGATGTTGGAATACAAGTCTACTTTACAGAAACTTGCATTTTTTAAAAATGTCTTGATGAGATTTGCAGGATGTTATACTGATAACCATGTGACATTTACAATCAGAAAATATTACAAACATCTTGTCATGATGTCACCAACAAATTGCTAAATTTCTATTAGTATCCTGGCAATCTTGTCATGAGATTCTGCTAGATTGTTCAACTTCATAAAATTTCCATGTATCCCTGAAATCTCGTGGGCACATCTTCACGATACACTAAAATTAGAATCCTCATGATGATCTCATTATGTGATGCCTGTTAGATAGTAGTGATCTTATTCTGATGTCACAGAAAGATTTATAAAAACTACAGGTTTCTGTAAAGTAATGGATCATTAGAACACATCAATCTGACTGAAGTGCAATGCATCTCTTTAGTTAAGTAACTCCTTGAGGGTGTTGGGTTTTTGCATGAGCACAACATCACTCATTTGGACATCAAGTTTAGCAATCTTGTTATTGACTGTCAGAGCAACAAATTGCTTATTATTGACTATGGATTTGCCCAGCAACTGAAATCCAAGAAGACTATGCTTACAAGATATTGAGGAACTGAGGGGTATGCAGCACCAGAGATTGACAATTATGAGCCTTTCAACCCAATCCATGCAGATTTATGGTCAACTGGGACTGTCATTCATGAATTGCTGAACATATATTCTTCTTGGGAGGCACAGATAAAACTTGAATATCTTAATGCCATTGCTTGCAAGCTTACAGACTCAAACCCTGCTGTAAGACCTTCAGCCTCTGAAGCTATGGCAATGCTAGAGCAAGCTGAGCAGCGGTGGTGCAAACGCAGTTTACTCGTATACCAGAAGAATAGTAATAGAATATTAGAAATGGTGACTAAAAATGGCTCAATTAGACCGATCGAAAGATATATAAGCAGTAGGAGTTTCAGCTAGAGTCGGTGTGTTATGTGTGTTATATTT